CCATTTACCAGAACGAGAGGTTTAATCACGAGGATCAAAGTTGAGTGACAATTCAGCTCGAGTCCCCAGCTAGCTAGACAGAATGATCTTTAAACAGGGGCTTTTATACCTTTTTGTGGTTTCCAAATTTGTCATTTCTGATTGGTGAGTTTGAATCTGCCTTTCCTGATTTGCTGGTCAGTGACTATTGTTGGTTAAATTTCTTTGCTAATCCTGCCTAAAAGGTGTTAATTACTTTTATTGTTGTGTATTTGTTAATCCTGATTGTTGCTAGCTGGTTCCTCATTGTGTGTGTCAAGTGTTTGCCATTTAGCCTCAGGCTGCTGTTGACCCAGGTTAGTTTGTCTTGGGGTTTTCCCAGATTATTCCTTCATTGGGGTGGGGAGGGGGTGTCCAGCTCTCATCAGTTCCAAGAATTAAATGGCTCCAGCAGAAGTGGAGATTGTTCTAAAGAGCTGAACAATTACTGTGAAGTCCTGTCCAAGCTTCACTGAAACAGAATTTAGAAAATTAAAAAAATGATCTATCCAGTTATGAACAAAGAGATAAATACAGTAGTAAATATTTCTAAGATACTTGAAGTCAAGCAATGCAATGGTAATGCCTACCATCTCTCTCTTAAATGTTAAACATTAAATTAATCCTCTTTTAAGCTAATTTGGCCTCTAATTTTGAGTTAATAAGTTAGGATTAAGAACATGAGAAATCATAAAAATAATTCAGACCAGAAGCTAAATGATCCATTAATATGGAAGTGGTCTTTTGTAAGATGCTACCAGTTATTAATGAATCAGCTGGGTTAAGTAATTCTTATTTATTTGGTGACATAGGGGATTACAGGAATGCAAACAAACTCCTAATTAATGGACAGTGGTATTGTTGTTAACAGTGCTGATGAAATCTGATGAAAGATGTTATACCTCTCACCACCACCATTTTGAGCCACTGCCTCTGATGATCAAAACCTGAAATGGTTACAAGCTCCTTTGGCCAAAAAGACTGCATTTAACTAACCCTCAGTAGTAAACCAAGAAGATATTAATGAAGATACTCTTTTAGTTATAAAAAACCTGGCCAATTTAAAAACACACAAGAAAAGTACATAGCTGTCATAAGTAGCTGAGAATGTATCTCCTGTATTTAGCTTTAATAAATAATTGAAAGAGCGACTTTCAGCCGAGGCAGCCGATATGGACGTCTGGAAGGCAAGCTCTGTCTTCTGCGTTCAGTTTCGCTTCGCAGGGGGACCCTGGAAAGGATCGAAAATCACCCTATAGGGCAACCAGCAAGGAGGGGATCCCCATTGGATCGCAGGAGGGCGGTAGCTCTTCTACTTGATCCGGGGCAGCCCTCCAAACTGGCAGACGAAAGACCGGCCATAGCAATATGGCTCGTCACTAGGCTGCAGACAGCCGAAGTCACAGTTACCATCAGGCAATTTTAAGGCAGCACAGACAAGACTGGGTGAGATCTACCTCTCTTAAATCCTAACTATTTTCTTTACCTGCATAAACTGCCTTAAGTACTTTCCCCCTTGTGGAGAGGGGAGATTTTACCCTTCCCTCTAAAAACAGCAGCGACTGACTATCCAGGGGAGTTTTAAAAAATGTTGCAAGAATAACCTAATTCTAATTGGAATTTTATTTCTTAAAGTTTGTGGATTAAAAAACTTTCTACTCTTACTGAAGATCTGGGTTTTTACTTATAAAAAAAAGTAAAACTGAAAAGATTATTAAAAACTTTGGAACTAAAGGAAAATTTTAAATATAGGGGCGACATCTTGTGGCTAAACCTGATATTACTACCTGTTATTGTTTAAAAGAGACTTGGCTGGCAGCCTAGACAATAGATAAGACTTATAGCCTTAAGACACTTATCAGCAGTGAAGCCCAGCTGTGTTCCTTACTCACTGAATTTTTAAAAAAATATTCTCTGATTGCAAAGCCTTTAATCTAACATATTACTAAGAGAATATGGAGGAAGATCAGGAACAGATTCTTTTTTATGCTGAAACCGATTTACCAAACTATTCTTACAGCTACTGAAGAAATAAGAGGTTACAGAATAGAACGGGATGTCAGCCCAGATACACAAACTCAAATTTTGATTACAATTGAAAAATCAACTACACAGAATATAACGGAAAAAGTGGACCAATTAAATACTATGACTGAAGATTCAATTGATCAACAAGTACAGTCAATGGAAAACCCAGAAAAGGGACTGACAAAATGGAAAAGGGAAAAGATTTTCTACATAAATCAGAAGAAACTTGAGGATCAAGAAGAACAACAGATTGAAGAGAAGATAAACAGTTTAAGACAACTACATCAAGATGGAAAAATAGAGAGACAATTTGTTAGTCTTCTCAAAAAAACGGTGATCAGATGGTTTTTTCTACGTCAAACAACATACATAATAACACAGGGAGATTTATTACATGACTCAAAAGCATAGACATGGAAGGCAATTTGGCAAAGAAAGAAAGCTAGAATAAGACTGAAGAAAATTGAGGTTTTGACTTACTAGTGAGAATTAAAACAGAATATTCTCAAAATAAATAAGATGTGTATCTTGAATATTAGAAATTGTTATGAGTTGAGTTAAAGGATACTTTGGTTATTTAGGACTTGGAAATATAAACATTAATAGTTAAATTTGAATATTGAATATTGAATATAAAGGCAATTAAAATATATATAAACTAGAAATGTATTGATGAATGTAACAAATATGTTATTTAGTGGTAATAATAAAAATTATTAGCTTAAATATAAGATAGTAGATATTGAGAGAAAAAAGAGGAAGTATTAAATGTTGAAATAAGAGAAATTTTGGTTATTGAATTTAAGATATTTGGAATTACCAGAAAATAAGAATATTATATTGTATTATTAACTAGCTGGTGTAAGATCCAGGGATGAATTGTGATAAAGGGAATTGGGGTTATTTAAAATTTAGAAACTTATTAAATGTTAAATTTAAATATTTATGGGAAACTAAAAATTGGGAAAAACTTACCAGGACATTGATTATCTAAAAAGATTGAATGTTAAAATGACTAAGATATGTATAAACTAAAAATTATTGATAAATGTAAGAAAGCTATTTGTATTAAATTGATATAATAAGAATTGTATTAATTCAAATGTGAGACAGTAAATACCAAGGGAAAAAGAGAGGAAATATTTAATGTAATAGTTTGTGATTTGTACTAAAGAAATTTGTACGTTATTGAATTATGAACCAACCCAGCTGCCATGCTGCTTTTCAAATATGTAAATGTAAAACTGGAAAATCAATAAATTAAAATAATAATAATAATTAAAAGAGCATTTACCAGAGTATGGGGGTAGGAGAGGGAAGTAATATCATACACATAATTATGTCACTGTGCAAACTACACAATTCACATCATTTGTGTATGATGTCATGTTGTGCCTGACATCATTTTGGCTTCTACTGGATATTGTTATTATTGACAGGGGCAATCACTTTCTTAAAAGATAAAACTTCTTGGGAAAATAAAACCTGTCATATAAGGGTCATCTCCTAAAAGTTTGAAATAATGACCAACTATTTTATCTTTAAAGGCAAAATTATACAGAAAGGATGGTAACCAGAGATATTACTGGATCACAACTTTTATCAGCAGGCTTCTGAGTGGAATTACAGTGGTAGTTTTAACTTCTTTACCCAGAAGGCTTGACACCAAGATATTTGCAGTGTCTACAAGTATCCCATTTTTGTAAAGTGGGGGAACTGTGACAATAAAGCATTGCTTAGCAACTATTTTTTGGGGGGAACAACCTACCTCTAGAACAGGCATGTCAAACTCATGACATCACCTGATGTCGCATGACATATCGGGACTTTTTCCCCATTGCCAGTAATGGGGTGGGCGTGGTTTTGGCATGACGCATCCAGCCCGCAGGCCGGTAGTTTGACATGCCTGCTCTAGAAGGTAGACTAGGTACCTTGGTAATGGATTTCCAGAAGGTATTAAGTGTAGTTGGGAAGTAATCCTTCACCAGTCACTTTTATTATGATTTTCTAAAAAAATTATTATTAATGCTACCTTTGATTTGATTTTAAAATTATTTTGAGCTATAGTGTTATGAGGTCTGTAGAGTAAAAATTTAATTATTATTACCTTTTTTGTTTACCATGGTTGTTTAATTATAGTTGTTTTTTTCTTATGCTTTATGTCATATTCTTTTCAGTTTTTAAAGCACTGGGAGCTATAATGACTTGATAGCACTGGATGATGATGATGATGATATCTGATCATATGTCATGGCATCTGGGATTGTTGGAATCTGTCCAGCTCCCTCAATACCGAGGTGCACAAACAGTTTTTCCATTCCATTCAAATTCATGTTCAAACATTCAGCATGATTTCTTCCCTAGCTTTACTTTCTCCAAATTAAGTAGCTCTTCTGCTGCTGCCAGACTCCTTATATTTTTGGCTACCATAGTCTAACATAGTTCTCTTTTGGAATGTCTTCTGGAAGACTCAATAGACAGGTAGCCTGTCCCTTATATAGGCTGATATTCTCATTTTCTGATAGAGGATAGGGACAGATCACCTCCAATTTAACATAATATATGAGGTGTGCATATGTTTGTGTTTAAGTAGTGTAAACTTGGTTTCTATACAAATGAATCTTTGCATGATGTGCCAAGCTCATGTTTGATGGAATAGTTGTATGACTGTCCCTTTGCTAAACAAATAAAAGTATCCATCTGGGCTTGTGTCCAGATCTGGCATTCTCTTTTTCATACTCTTAAACAAAATAATCTATTAAAATAATAGTGGTGCTTTCTCCCAGTTTTCAGCTTATGACTAACAATCTAGTTATATGTTCCTTTAAAAAAGAATGCTGATATCTAAGGAACCAGGAAATTCATCAACACTCAGAGAAAACATTTGTTATATAGACAGAAAAGTATCTTGAACACCCATTATTTGCATGTTTCACATCACCCTTTCCTATTACCTTTGTAAACATAGGTTTTCCATGTTGGCTGACCATGGTGCACTGATCACAATCCACTGTGATGGAGGAGCTATGATAGGATTCTTTTGAGTGCTTGAGGATGTAATACAGGTCTGTCACTCCTCCTTCAAAGATAGTGCTAAAATAACGAGGGATGAGGGTCCTTCCAATGGCTGTGGGGAAAATACAAAGCACATGAGCTGCTAGAGAGAACATGTTAAACTGTTGACAGCTGTTAATTGACTAGACCACATTGACTTTAGAGCAAACCAATCCTAGTTTCCAAAAATACTAATGGAGTAGTAACTGGATATTTTTATTCATTTAACAACCAGTTGCCACAGTATGGTCCTTTTATTGCAACTCTTATTTCTGCATCATGGATCTGCAGGGGTGGATTTTTAGAAAATGACGACTGCTGGGTATATGCGATTGAAGCACTGCATCTTGTCATATGTATTCCAAATGCATATAGTTGTGGCCATTGCCTTAATTTTTTTGACAACCACACCTGCTTTTCTGGATTCTCCTGTTACATGACTATAAGTAAGACTTGCAAGGTGGAGTTTTCTTGCTTAGGATTCCAGCCAGCCATCAATGCCATTTTCACTTATTCTCTGTTCTATTCCAGCCCTTCTCTGCCTATTTCAAAGCGACTGGGCCCATCCTTCATTTTTCAGCTTTCTTTCCCTTTCTGTCCTTCCTCAAGGAGACTGATTTCCCCCTATTCTGGGTGGATAAAGATGCTTCAGATACACAATGTTCTAGGCTTCTGGTTTTGCACAGTAGTGCAGTAGCCGAGGGATTGCGAGGCTCCGCACCCTACAGCTGCCTGTTAGGGGACTCTAAATGGGCCAGAAGTTGCCCCAAACAGGCAGCAAAGAATGAAGGAAGTTCTGTGGACCACGGAGAGACAGTGGTTGACCCGATTGGTCTGGGAAAAGCCTTCCAGAAACCAACGGGAGAAAGGCTAGCCAAATTTCAGAGTCTAGCCTAAGCTACAAGCAACCAAAGCCCAAAAGCACTACTTTAACATGATGGTAAATGACGTGCTTGGATCTGGGTAAGAACATTGATTTTCTCTATTCTACATATTAACTAATTTCCTGGGGGAAAACCCCATGAAGAAGAAAAATCTCTGAAATGAGGAAGGGGCCGTTTGCTCCACCTTTCTGCAGACGGAAGTGGCGAATTAAATATTTTATGGGGGAAGAATATACTGAAATGAAATGAATATAAGACCTAAAACTGGTTTGTTATTTGTCTAAAATCCCTTAAGATCTTCATTTTAAACTATGAAAATAGAAGATAATTGTTTATTTTGAAAACTGAAAAAAATGAACTGGTGCTGACATCTAGTGGTGGATGAAAATTACAACAACAGTTGCTCTAATACAAGATTAAAGCCCAAGAAAAGTTAATCTATTCTTATGGCCTTCAAAGTTCTAATAATAGAGAACAGCTGTGACAAAAAAAGAAAACCTCTGGCTACATACAAAATAAGAACTATAAACTTAAAAAAAATCTGACCTTTCTGAATTACAAATATTAACTTAACTGTGACTCTAAAGCTGTTTGCAAAGAAAGGAAAACCTTGATTTTTGGCTATTATGGAAAATCAGAGATCTGCAGAAAGAATGATCAAGAAAAAACAAATACTTTCCAGGAGGAGATGTATGAGATGTTGCAACTAATTCAAACAACAATGATCTTAAACCATGAGGAAATTGAAAATAATTTTGAAAATATAAATGAATCCATCTCCAATTTGATTTCATAGCAAAAGAACTCTCAGGATAATAATTGAGAGGGAGCAAATAAAGCAGATAACTGAATACAAATTGGAGGAAAAAGATTTAAAAATAGAACTTAATAATATAAGGAAGTATGACTTGACTCAAATGAAGAAGGACTTACAAGAAACATTGGATATGGAAAAGATAACTTGTACTCTAAGACCACAAAATAAATCTCAGTATAAGAAAAAAGATTTGACAAAATGGATTGCAGAGCTGTCGGGAGTACTACGAGAAATGGGGAGAGAAGGGATGATGAGAGAAACTAAGAGAGAAAGAAAAGACAGGATCTTCAATGAATATGAAGGGGCAAAATCTTTTTACAAAGACATGTTGCTTGATTTGCCTCTTATATCTACAACAACATTTGCAGGATTATGGAAAGACTCTTTGATTCAACAGAATATATTGATTGGGAAAGATGTTTGGCAAAAGAAGAGGGCTAAAGTGAGAATTGAGGAATTAGATGATGGGATGTATCAGAGGGAATATTTAAAAATTAAACACTTGTTTGAATATGGTTGAAGAAATAGAAAGATTTTAGCTTTAGAGGGATGAACCCCCCCCCAAGTAATATAGTATTCTTTCTTTTCTCTTTTTTTTAGTTTGTTTTTTGATATGAGAAATATATGAGAAATGTTTGGGATGGTCAATATAAAGTAAATGTTTTAGATATTTAAATGTAATTGACTTTAAGAAAATTCCAACGGATAATTTAAAAAAAATCTTTTGAATAGAGTTAAAAGATTAAATGATTGGATTTATTAAATGGAACATCTAAAGATTAAACATATGTTTAATTATGGGTAAAAAGAACAGAAAATTTTTGGAAATAAATGTACTTAACCTTGAGAAAATGTTAACCAGTAAGAATGTTTTGAACATTGTAGGGAAAACAAATTTAAATAAGAATTGTAAACAGGATTTATGATGAGGCAACCAAGATACAAGATAGAAAAGAAGCATGATATTGATGTGATTATTATTTGTAGAAGTTTTAGAAAAATCTTTATATTTAATTGTTACCTATCAAACTAATAAGAATTGTATCAATTCAAGGTTGGCAAAGAGAATATTATTGGGAGAAGAGAAAATCAAGCAAAGCTATTATGTGGACTTTGGAATATAGAAACTGATCGTTAGTGATTACTTTGCAAATATAAGCCCAGACAACATGCTGCTTACCAAATATTAAGGTGTTTATGTTAAAAAAAATCAAATACACACACACACACACACACACACACACACACACACACACACACACATTCACTACAAAGTAACCTTTGTTTATTCGCCTTCGGGGCTTCTAACCATTACAATGTAACCATTTGTCTCTTATCCTATATCCCTCTGAACTTCTCCTCCTTACCAGCCAGCTAGGAAAAGGGGGGTGAAAAGATACAGGCCTCCAGGATCTGGTTTATTTCTCCATCATCAAAATAAGGTGTGAGGAGCTGTTGAATGATCGTGCACAATGGAGTTGGATTGATGTTATCTTTCCTGGATTTAACATCTAGAAATCTGCCGGTCTGAATCGCCCGGAAGTACTGCGGGGTGGGGGTTGCTTAGGGTCACTTTAAAACATTGATTTGTAAGGAAATCCCTCAGATCCTGTCTATCATGCCTGCTATCAATTTCTCTTAATAAAAGTTCCTGTTGGAAGAGATCGTTTCCAAGAGTTCTGTTTTCTTAAGATGTGGATTGAAGTGGTTCCTTACAGATACACAATGATCTAGGCCAGGGGTGTCAAACTGCCAGCCTGCGGGCCGGTTGCCTCATGCAGAGGACATGCCCACCCTAGCTCCGGCAATGCAAAAATAGTCACAACACGTCGCAACACGTCATGTGACATGATGAGTTTGACACCCGTGATCTAGACTGATAAATGAATTTGCTGTTAATAGGTAAAATACTATAAAACTATCAATGTATAAATAAGATTATAAACTCCTGCTGTGTTTACTGACATTACCAGAACTCAAGAGTTTTTATTGTGATTTCCATGGTTTTAGAGACCCCTCTTGAATAAATCTTAATGCGATAAATGGGATTTAGAATTATTCACAAGTAAGTATGCATAAGATTGCAAGTTCACCACTCTTCTGACAGCCTTGAGTGGAAGAGATTCAAAAGAAAGGAATAGGAAGTTCTTTGGGTATCTGCTGTTTCTCCCATAGAACAAGTTGGAGCCCAGTTGTCTCAACTGAAATTTTTAAATGATCTGTTAGAATATTGAATTCTAAACTGGACATCTTTCCCTTTTAAAAATCTGTGACAAAAGTTTCTACATTCTTATTCTCAATTTTTTTAATCCACTCATGGAAAAAGAAATGGATGCTATTTTGATCTGCAAAACATGTTCCATGTTTATACCCATAGAAAACCCAAACTATATATGTACCAATTGCAAACTAATTGAGTTACTAGAAGAAAAAATAAGGAGGAAACTCTAACCACTCTGAAACTCAACCTACAAAATGAGAAACCCCAAACCTTGCAAGGAGAATATGCCCAAATTGAACATAATAATGATCAAACAACTTCTAAAAGAATTGACCCCTTAGAAGAAGAGAAATGGAAACATGTCATTCATAGAAAAAAACACAAACCTATTACAAAACCTCTGTCCAACCCAACCCACTCTGATGCAGCACCACTGCTGCTGAGCAACCAATTTCATAGACTTTCCCTGGAAGAAGACATGCAGACATCTAGAAGGGGCATTGTCTTACCTGAACGCCTTTTCTCAGTACGGAGATGGAGAATCCACCAATGGGTTTTCTCTGTCTGCCTGCTCTTGAGACCAAGTAGCCAAACATGATATGCCCCCTCTTGCTAGGAGATCCAGTCTTAACGAAGGCGAAAGTGGCTGAAGGTGGATGAGGTGTTGGCTCTCAAACCCTTAAATTCGGTCTAACTGACCTAAAGGGTGGGTGTGGATTCTCCATCTCCGTACTGAGAAAAGGCATTCAGGTAGGACAATGCCCCTTCTCCAGTACAGGAGATGGAGAACCAATGGGACATACCAAAGCCTCACTGTCCTGATGGGTGGGAAGCAGATAAGGCCAGAATAGTGTCCCCAGAGACCACCTGCTGAAGGACCCTCTGACCAAAGGAGGCGTCCGCCAAAGCGAAGCGGTCGATCCTGTAATGGCGTACAAATGGGGAGGGCGAGGACCATGTCACAGCCCTGCAAATCTCCTCGATAGACGCCTGAGTGGCCCATGCTGCAGAGGTCGCAGCACTGCGAGTGGAATGGACAGTAAAATGACTTGGAGCCAGCAGGGAAGAGGACTGGTATGCCTGCGCAATACAGGCCCCGATCCATCTGCCAATAGAGAAGCTGGACAGAAGGAGATAAATAGGGCCTCAGA